GATGACAATATGAATTGTTTTCAATGGGAGAAGATGAAAAGATTGCAGGCTATGTGTCGAAGGTGTAGAAACTCGTCCATCTCATGAAGGGTTGTGGTGAAACCCTAACTGATATGATGATAGTTGAGAAGTAAATATGTATGTTGATTTCTCACTTTGATCACGTTATGGTAGCTATTCAAGAATCCAACAATCTTGAAACCCTAAAACTGAAAAATTTGGTTGGTTTGTTGGCAGCGCATGAGATTAGGATTGTCGAAAGGAAAGGAGTTCAAGACTTCATACAAGCACTACAGGCTCAATCGTGGAAGAAGAATGGTGGTTTCAACAAGTTCAAAGGCAAAATCGATAAGACTCAAGGAAAGAAGTCTTGATCGAATCCTCACAAGAATAAGATCGATGATAGAACTTCTGAATCCTAAAAAAGAAGAGAAGGAAATTCCTATCAGAAATACAAAGTAGAGAAAAAAGGTGTGCAGTGCTATAATTGTGAAAAGTGGGGTCACTTGGCCAAGCATTGTTGGTACAGGAAAGACAAGGGTTCGACAAAAGACAAGGACGAAGGAGCAAACATTACGCGTAAAGATTCAGATGATTATGATGATATGGTGGTTATGGATGCAGTTGCAAATGATAATGTCAAATCCAAGATCTTGCTCGAATCACATGACTGTTCGAAAAGTATGGTTAATAGATTTTAGTGAGTCGAAGAAGGGTAAGGTCAAACTTACTGATAATAGCTTGTTGCAAGCAGAAGGTACTGACAACATAGTTATTCAAAGGGGTAATGGAGCAAAGGCCTTGATCAAAGATGTACTATATGTCCCTGGGATAAAGTGAAATTTGCTAAGTGTTGGACAACTGGTCAAAAAAAGGTTCTCAGTGGTTATGAAATATGAAGCCTTAGAACTTTTCGACATCCAAAATAACTTAGTATTGAAATCTCCTCTGTCGAAAAATAGAACATTTAAGACTATGATCAGTTCAACTGAGGTACAATGTCGGAAAATAGTTGTCGAACACAAGAATAGTTGGTTGTGGCATCTGAGGTTTGGACATCTGAACTTTAGGTCACTAAATCATATGATCACTCAAGATATGGTAATTGATATACCAATCCTTGAGATGCCCGACAAACTCTGTGAAAGTTATCCAGTCAGAAAGAAGTATAGGAAGTTTTTCGTTTCGACTATGCCAATGAGATCATCATGCATACTTGAAGTTGTACATTTATATGTATGTGGTCCTTTTGAAGAGCATACCATTGAAGAAACATGTATTTCTTCTCATTTGTTGATGAGTACACTCAAAAGCTCTGGATTTATATGATCAAACGAAAGGACAAAGTATTTGAAATCTTTGAGATCAAAACACTTGTCGAAAACCAGGGTGAAAAGAAAATTATAGTTATGCGAACAGATGGAGGTGGCGAATACACATCCAAGATATTTGAAGAATTTTGTTCAGAACATGGTATTAATAATGAGATAACTGCTCCTTATACCTCTCAACATAATGTAATAGCAGAAAGAAGAAACATGACCATATTAGACATAGCGAGATGCATGTTGAAGCAAAAGAATTTTCCAAAATCCTTATGGGTTTAAGTTGTTTCGAATGCTGTTTATATTCTGAATAGGTGCCCTACCAAGAAGCTGAAGAACAAGGTTCCTGAAGAAGTGTAGAGTGGAAAACGACCATCAGTGAGTCATCCGAAGGTGTTTGGCTCTATCTGCTACAAGCATATTCCTGATGCTAGGAAAAGGAAGCTTGATCATAAGAGTGAACCTATGATTCTGGTAGGATATCATAAGATTAGAGAATACATATTGTTCAATCTAATGAATCAGAAGATTGTGATGAGTCGATACATTGTGATTGATGAAAAATATGCCTGGTATTGGAATTCTAGTAATGCAATTGACAAGCCACTTATGAGCTATGATTTCGACGAAGCAAGTAATGATGTCGAAGTCGAAGATATTGTTGATACTCCAGTCAAAGAAGAAGTCGAAGCAGTTGCTGACACTCTCGACACAGTCGAAGTCGAAGAGGATATGGCGGGCATAAGTCAGAAACCTCAACAAACTAGAGCTCGTCCAGTAAGACTTCAAGACTATGAAGTGGTTGGAGATGAAGAAGTCACAATAGATAGGAAATTAGTTCATTTTGCTTTACTTGCATGTGTTGAACCAATCAACTATAGCGAAGCCTTCAAAGTAAACAATGGAAGTCTGCTATGGTCGAAGAGTTATAAGCAATTGAAAGAAATAACACATGGGAGTTGGTCGAATTTTCAACTCATACAAAAGCTATCGAAGTAAAGTGGGTGTTCAAGTTGAAACACAATACTTATGGGTCGATAGCAAGGCATAAGGAGAGACCGGTAGCTCGAGGATTTCTTTATAGAGTAGGACTCGACTACTCTGAAGTATTTACACTAGTCACGAGATTGGGAATTGTTCGACTAGTGGTGGCCTTGGCATGCAAGCAAGGTTGGTCAAGATTTCACTTAGATGTGAAATCGGCCTTTTTGAATGGACCTTTAGATAAAGAGGTGTATGTCACACAATCTCCTAGGTTCGTGATTCAGATGGAAGCAATTAAAGTATACAAGTTGCGCAAAGCTCTCTATGGTCTCAAGCAGACACCTAGGGCCTGGAACAAGAAAATCGAATCATACTTGGTTAAATTGGGATTCGTAAAATGAAAATCTGAGTATAGTGTCAATGTTCAGGTTGTGGCACAAGATATAACAATAATTTGCTTATATGTCGATGACTTGCTAGTAACTTGAAATGGCTTGAAGAACTTGTCGAAGTTCAAAGAGCTGATGAAAAAGAAATTTGAAATGTCGGATCTGGGAAAGTTGTCATACTTCATATGCATGGAATTTCAAATGTCGAAGTAAGGCATGACGCTACATCAAAGAAATTATGTCAAAGACATACTCAAGAGATTCAAAATGGATGATTCGATTCCTGCATCTTCGCCTATCGAACCAAATTTAAAATTGGAGAAACATGGAAAGGAAAACAAAGTCGATGCAACTTTGTTCAAACAGATTGTCCGATCTTTGAGATATGTGTGCAACAGTCGACCTGATACATGTTTCTCAGTCGGATTAGTAAGCAGATACATGAGCGAACCAAGGGTGTCACACATGAAGGTTGCAAGAAGAATCCTAAGATACTTAAAAGGATTGACAAACTACGAAGTTTTATTTCGACGAGACTCTGAAAGCAAAAAAGCTATGGTTACTTGTTATTCAGATGTTGACTGGTGCAAAGATAAAGAAGATCAAAGAAGCACTACTGGGTATTTCTTTCAAGTATTTGGTGCCCCAATTTCATGGTGTTCGAGAAAGTAACATGTGGTGGCATTATCATTGTGTGAGGCTGAATATATATCAGGATCATATGTTGCGTGTCAAGCAATTTGCATCAGATCTGTGCTTGAAGAAATGGAGGTTGAAGTGAAGAAACCTCTGGTACTGCAGATCGACAACAAGTCATCCATAAATTTGATGAAGAGTCCAATTTTGCATGGAAGAAGTAAGCATATCAAAGATAGATTTCACTTCTTAAGGGAGAAGGTGAATAGAGGTGAACTTGAAGTAAGACATTACTCAAGTGAGCACAATTGGCCGACATTTTCACGAAAGGATTAAAGATCGACAGGTTCCTAACTTTAAGAAAGAAATAATGAATAGTTCAGATCGACAATGATTAGTGTGTTTCGACAACTTGGATTATAGGGGAGTATGTTGAGATATAAAATAAAATCCAAATTGTATTATGTAATCTAAACCCAAAGCTAATTAGGGTTTAGGGTTTGTTATTTAGTTTGTTATTTTAGTGTATATAAATAGACACTTTATAATTCAGTTTTATTCAATTCAATAATATCAATCATTGCTTCTTTATTTTCTCTCTATCTTTAAAAAAAATTTAAGAACCTATATTGATTTTGACTAGGCTAATGATTCTGATGATCGGAGATTAACATCCAAAACGTGCATATTCTTTGGGTCCTAATTTGGTATCATGGAGCTCAGAATAAATAACTTCTTGTTGCACGTTCGATTATTGAAGTGAAATATATAGCATTTCAACTATTGAGTTATTTAGGCTTGAATCTTTATTGTCTAAGTGCACTATTGATATTCTAAGTGCACTATTGATATCCCATTATCCGGCGCTATATGCTCAAATAAAATATATTGAATTTCACATCCAATTGTTCGTTAAAGGATGGTGTCAAATAAGCTTAAAATTCAACATGTTTATGCCTCTACTAAAATTACATATACTTTGACCAAGTTTCTACCGACAAGTGCATTTCAAGATTTTCAGGACTAAATTCAAAGTAGTTTCTCTCAAATCACATTGACCTATTGATCTTTTGGGGAGTATTAGTGTTAAACCTTTGTATAAATTATTTTATTGTAAATAGAAAAGTGTGTTGGGATAGAAAGACCAATTGGTTATTTAAGTAAAAAGTTGGTTAGAAGTTTCTTCCATAAATTTTTTAGTTTTTTAAGTTGACGTGTTTTTAATTTTTATTTTTGTATTTTTTTTTTTAATATAATTCTTAAATATTAAAATTTATTTGGTTTTAGATTTTAAAATTATAATTCAGGAAAAATTCACAGAAAATCTGCAGATTTTCTTACAAGTTTTAATTTTACGAACTAAAATCAAATAAAATTTAATATTTAAAATTTTATTTTAAAATTAAAAAAATACAGAAATGAAAAATAAAATTACACCAACTTACAAAGAAAAAAAAATTATTTAAACCATAATTTATGTGAAAAGGTTTCACAACCATTCTTTTTTATTTTCTATAATGTAGAAGTATAAGTTTAAAAATGTATAGGTAAAAAATTTAGAACAAATTAAAATGATTGATGAAATATGTAATCTGATATCCTAAAAAGACAATATGAAAATTACTAATAGTTATAGGAAGATAGCATAAGACATGGATTATGAATCTTACTTTCTCTTTTTCATTCCCTTTGGACTTTTGGTGTTGAGAGCTTGAAGTTGTTTGTAAGCTCCATCCAAATCCTCCTCCATCTTGTGGCCATTGGTTGAGAAAGAAAAATCTCTAACTATTATAGAATCATCATTGGATTCTTCTTTGTTGTTCAAATATAGAAGTGTATTTGTCAATGATTTAAGTACTTCTCGAACAAGATCTTGAGCAACATCTTTAGGTAAAACTTTTGATGATTTTGACTTAGACCCTTTGACTTGTCTAATTATATTAGACTTATCATCAAAAGTAAGTACTTCAAGTAATTGATTTGCCATGTCACGTCCTCTAATAAGCTCTTCTTCCATTGCTTTTTTTCCATTGGTAGGAAACCAACCTAGATTCTCCATTCTTTTTTGGTAGTGAAAATTTGTTACACTTTGCTAAAACTATAACTAGGTGTAATATTGGATATGAGAGAATTAGAGAGAGGGGCATATCCTTATATTCAACTCGGAACTTTCCTTGTTGCAAATTTAAAATTTGTTCCCATTTGAGAATATATAATTATAGAAAAATTCTATGATTGAGTAATCCATTTCACACAACCAAAGTGGTGAGTGAAGAAAACAAGACATATGTAATTTCAATGTAAATGAAGCGAGTGTCGTAAGAAACTACTCAAGCAAATTGTTTTCTACTTAAGTAATATTATTAATTTAAATTCAAAGTCGTTTCATTATCTTTAAATAATCTTAAGTGCTATTGTTAATCCAAATACAAAGACGTTTCACTATATTAAATCACCCTTATCCAAAGTAGTTTTCAATTTTTTTTAAAGATAAGTGTACTATAGTCATAATTGAACATTATCTTTTTATGATTTAATTGTGAAAAATATTTTAAGGAATTGTTTTTATTTATAGTTTAAACTATGAAAAAGTTTGGATCATGTGCCACCCACCTTCTATCATACACACTTTCAAAAAGAGTCGTGTACATACTTCACTAAATAATTAAAACCCTAATAAATATATGAATTTTACTATCATTATCTAGGGGTGACAAAACAGGTCTTTTCCGTTGGACATATCTGTTTTATCAGCATTTTAGTGCAGAGAGAGTCAAGGATTTAGATCCTCACTCTCTAATTTGTATGTCCCGCTTTCTTCACAAATTTTTGCGGACACAAATATTTACATAACTTTTAGATTTTTAAACTTAAAATGTGTAACACCCGCAGACTTTTCCCGCCTCGCCTCACTTTTTTGCGCGGAGGATTTAGATTTTAGACTCGCTTCTTTAATTATGACCGCCCTGTTTCACCCATATTTTTGAATTTTTGTAGAATGAGTCTAAACAGGACTGACATGTCCGTTTGTCACCCCTACTTCCATGTTTAAATATAATACTTTACTTGAAAAACTTTTTTATAAAATGTATTTTAATTTTTATATGAAATCAAAAAGAAATATTAAATAGCTTAACTTTCATTCTTAATGATTAAATTGTTTATATCTCAATAAAACAAATTGGTAAGTCATAAAAAGGTTTTACCTTTTCACACCATCAAAGAATTTGACACTCCATATATTTGCATAAATTTTAAATTATTCATAGATAGTTTTGAATAAAAAATGTAATGAAAGTTTTGGTATTCTTGATAACATGCCAAATTTCAGGTAGTTCATCTTTAAATTTTCAATATAAATTTTTTACTAATTCTTTTGGAAAAGAAAAGTTATATATTTGATTTTTCAAAAAATTCAATATTGCCTTATTTTTTTCGAATTTTTTAAAATTTCAGTGGTTCATATTCAATAAATAAAAAAATTTAACATTATCGAAAAATTTATCGGAAATTTTGAAAAATGCTATAATTTAACGATTGAAAATTTCGAGTTTAAAACAAAATATTTTGAAAATTTTAAAATTGTTTTAAAAATTTCGATATTTCTAATATTTTTTAAAAATATTCATTTTTTATCAGAAATTTTAAAAAATTCCGATATTTTTTTCAATACTTCAATAAATACAATAAAAAATTAAAAAAAATTATAAGGATATAAAGATAATATCACTACAATGTGTAAATGTCAGGTTTAATTTAGGGGATAACAAGTATATTAAAGACAAACTTTTGAACAAGTCCATGTTATTTAGTCAACGATATTGTATTAAAGACATAGATAGATCTAATGAAAGAATTGCATTGAAAAAACATATTAAAATGTTTGTTACATATCAACAAAATTGTTTGTTACCGGCCAAAAAAATTTTGTTAGCATCAATCCTATTTTTTAAATGGGAATATTATTGTAGGGTGAGCTCATCATCCTAACATCATGCTGCTGAGAACACAATTTTATAATCCTATGTAGAAGACAATAATATCCTCATTTATGGTTTGCACATACTCTATAGAGGACAAACATATCATTGCTAATAAAAGTATATTCTTAGATTTTTGTTTTTTGTTTAGGTCAAGGTCTCCTTTCAATGAATTTATTTTGCTTGGAGAAAAAAGACAATTTATCAGTTCTTTTTAAATTTCATTTTAAGTTCACTTTCAGTGATATTTAAACATAATAAATACTATAGAAATATTATTATTACAACTCTATTCATATTGTATTGAATTTTTGTTTTGACTCGGTTGTATTGAATATGACAATAAATAATACTCTCTCCTTTCCAAATTATTATGTCAGTCTATTTATAGCTATTTGTCCTAAGTTTTATATTATTTTATTCTATCAATAAATTATTATATATTTTCCTTCTATGGCCTTCAATATTAATTACTATATCCTTTTCCAAAAAATTAATGAAAAAATTAATTGGATTAATTTTTTAATTACAAGAATATAAATAAAAGTTTGGATTTAAATAAAAGATATTCTAATGTGATTATTGTTTAAGTTTGTTTAAGTTTGTTTGTCATTACGATAAACAAAAAATTAAGTTTGTTTAAAATATCCATGCATTAATTAATTAATGAAATACGAACATTTAGGAAAGAAATACATTAAGTTTATTAATTCTTTCTAGTTTTCTCACAAACAAACAAAATATTTTCATCATCAAACATGCATAAAAAAAGAATGAAGAGAGGAGACAAACAAAATCATGAATCAAGAATCTAACAAGAAGTTGCATGATAGATCAAGGCACATTTCCTCAATCTTTGATAGAAATTCATAAAACCGTAAAAGTCATAATATCAAGGTCTAAATGAAATTTAATCTAACATATTTTTGTAAAATTACTCATGATTTTTCTTTTCCATTCAACATTTGTTGAAATAAGTAATATAATCTAAGTCGTGTGTGGCCTAAATTCAAAGATATTTTGCGCTTAGTAGTCAAATCACTTAGTTGTATATAAATAGATAATTTGTAATTTAATTTTGTAATACAATTATAATTCAATAATATCAACCATTAATTTTCATTCTCTCTCATTCAATCTCTTCTCATTAAAAGTGTCTCACACACTAACAATATTAACTATGTTTTCTTAATTTGTATAAAGTTAGTAAATCGATATGTAAATTGAGATGGAGAGAGTATACATTATTTTTAAATGTAAAAGTAACAAAAAATAGAGAAGGGTGTATAGTTTTTGTAGTCTTAAGAAATTTTATAAGCATGGTGAAAACAATTTTAATAAGGGATTTCAATTTCATATGTATGAGACAATATACCTCTTTTGAGAAATCCGAGCAAGTTGGCTGAAGGAATGAGATGTCAATTTGAGTTATTTTTATGATTGAATCAACTCTAAAGAGACTACCAATAATATCAAGACTTTGAGAATAATGTCAAAGGAGTGGGTGGATTATCCATATTAGGTTAGAGAGGAAACATGATAGTTCTTTAAAAATTATGGGTAGTAATTAGAAGCTACCAATGCTACATGATATTTGTTTTCTTTCGATGTCGGAGTTTACAAATAGGACCTCTTTTGTTCAAAACTAGAAATGATCGGAAAAATAATGAGGTAATATCTTGCTGTAGTGGATTTGTATTATCGATAGAGAATGAGCTGACTTATAAGGTTATCACTCCAACACCCAAGTCACTTAGAGAGTAAAGAGTAATGCGAAAGTGAGAATAGATTTGAATACCTAAAATAACATGATTTTATCTTTATATAATGAAAGCGATTAAACTTGTAACACCCTTCTAAACCCCACAAATAATATATGCATAATCAGAGTAAAAGTTAACATGCATCCAAAAAAAAAGGGCGTCACACAAAACATTCACAACATCAAAACCACCTGTCATGCTCATCAACACTTTAAAATAAAATCATGCTTTACAGAATTTCACTTTGCATTTAGCAGCGGATTCATTAATGATCATTTCGTAAAAGAAATATTTGCTTTCATCATATAAAATCAACATCACTTAGGCACTAAGTCCAACGTCTAATTATTCTAATTAATCCAAATATGAAAACATAACATAGATTACGTAATGTAATCCTAAAACATAAAGCAATCGATCCCAGTGTTACACGACCAGAGCATGACTCGACCCATAAATAAATTACTAAACAGCTACACCAATAGCAACCTCGCAACAACGAACAACTCTACTCTTATACCTGCACGATGTCATATAAGACATCATTCCAGCAGAAGGGTGAGAAATATAATCATAATAATCAATGCATACAATTATATATATACACAAGTATAGAATACATATAACCCACATTTTCTCACCACAATTCATTTCCATTATCAGATGCATCACAACGTGCATATAAACAAACATAGACATTCATCAAGCATTTTCATCATGCATACATCCATAAATCTCAACATCCCACATAAACATACACATGTTATGTTTTATCCACCAATTCACTATTACACATTCACATTTCTCAACTACACAAGTAATGCACATATGCATATTCCACAATTCTCACCATACTTCATCATAACTCATCATATACTTTACAAAGCGTACTTATATAAACAAATATGGACAATCATCAAGGATATTCGTCATGCACATATCCATAGTCCTCATCAATCCACATAACATACACATAAGCATTTTTGCATACAACAATCTTATATTCACACTCTCAAATCAACAAGTCATGCACACACGCATGCTTCATACAACAATCACAAATATGCCACGTGACTCAATGCAACTCATGCCATGTGGTACCAACACTTGTTATCATTTTTCGGTTTTTACATTTAAATCGAATCCACCCTTCTAGTCCGATAACAACAAAGCCCGTCACCTAGGCTTTCAAACCCACCCTTCTAGGTTTGGGACAAGCCACTAGTCTCCACGAAACTAGCAAACATTGCCTCTTGACTAAATGATGCATATGCAATCAACCAACAAAATGCACTTAAGACCGTTCCCGCATCTTA